GGTGTCAGGACAGATTAATTTTATTTTGCTTGATCTCGGTACCCCTTTTAATTTTTTATTTACTTCCACCAGGCTTCTGAGAGGTATTTTCTTCTGAAGACACTGATAGCAGGACCGCATTGAACAGTCCTATTTCTTCTACCCAGAAGGTTTGATGCTGCTAAGGCAATGCTGCTACAGCACAGGTTACCCCAAATCAGCCCCTTCCACCACCTCAAGCCAACAAACCAGTCTTGGTCCACGTGCTCCGAGAACAGCAACAGAACACTGGGACTTCCTCTACCATATAAACCATACCTTGGAAGTGGAAAGGATAGTTGGGCAAGTTACCCTTTTAGTTCATTTCCACCTGAGATTTCTATCTTATTATCCACTGTTGATACAATTTTTCATTAAACTACCCTCGAGTCAAACCAGCACATTCCTCGCAGCAGGCTTCAGAACATTGTCAAGCCTCCTGGTTGTTTTTGACTCATGGAAGAGCAAACTACAACACCAAAAAACAAGTAAACTGCCACCAGGCAGCCTTTCTGGTCTCGTAACCATCACTGATGTCTCTTCCATAACCAGCCATCCAGGGAGAACCTGGCAGTACATAGGTTGATTCCCCAAAACTGAGCTCTGAATTTTGCTTACAAGAAACGTGCAGCACTATGAAATGAAAGACTTTACATTTTGAGACATAAATCTAATCGTCCTTTCTCAGATGAAAGCAGCTAATTCATAGATATTTACAGGCAAACTTGTTGCGCTAGAGCAGGGGTATTGTGATCTTCCTGTTCCTTCACAGCTTCCACCAGGATGAAAGATTTGAGCCAGACCTTGACCTGATGCACCACCCTAGGAAGGGAGCCATCAGAAGGAATTTGCACTTGATTGGCTTTGGTAAGCATTGGGTTTTGAAGGTTTCATTGACATTGACTACTGGTAAGTAAGTCTATCTGAAAAATGCCAGACCTAACATAACAAAGAATATTTTTTTAAGATCAGAAAGGATGTTACAATAATGAATCACGGATTTTGTCCTGCCAAAACAGGTTCCTGCAAGCAGTTTGAGAACCGTGAATGAAGCTCATACCTTTATGATTGTGTTTTTTTTCTACATACAAAGCTTGCCTGGTTTGAACCTTTTCCTTCCTTGCTCCCATTCAAAATAAGTTAGACGCTTACAGATGTGCATACACACATCTGCAGAGAGCCAAAACCTAGCAATCCACATTAAAAGCAAGACTGATGACAACTGTTAGACCAGCCCCCCACCGAGCTGCACACTGGCTCAGATCTGCCACGCCAAAGAACTGGCACTACACGGCCACACATCCTGAAGCCGTTGTCTTCATGATCTTCCTTAAACCTGGTATTTTAGGCTTGATGGTCACTGGGAGTTCCCTTAGTGCTTCTGACCCCTTTTTCCTACGGAGTCTTCAGGTTTTCATCTTGTGGGCTGAACTAGAGTCCACAACAAAACTTCTTATTCAAAGAGTTTTTGCTACCTGAAGTCCTACGCACAGAATATATACCTCGCCATGACATGCTACAAGCCCACGGGACACTGTGTGAGCACTTGACCCAACGAGCTGCCCAGTTCCTGGTTTGTTTGCAGGCCACTTAGCAATGCAATAACTGCACCGTCCTACCAAGCATTCCCACCACAGCACAGCTTCACACACACCCTGTAACCACACTGGGAGACTGCAGACCACTTGCTTACAGCACAAGCCCTGCACCAGCTCAAGAGGAGGAGGCTCCGAGGGCCGCTCAGTGTACAGCTGTATTCAGTTTGCAAAGCACAGGTTATCTGTGCAAGGACACTCTCCACAGGCAACAACATACATGCAGAGGAAACCTGTGCTGTATGGCTCTGGCGGTTGTCTAGCCTAATATGTAGAGTAGGAGCAGTAATGAGGAGACACAGAAAATTAGTCTCTTCCCACCCATATCATCTCCCCAGTAAGGCAGTTACAAGACTCTAGAAAATCAGCACCAGGAAAGATCGTTTCCTCAGAGAGGCTGAGCTATGACCAGCAGCACATCAGTGTAAATACCTCCAGAACTCCTGAATTAAAAATAACCATTCCCTGGTACAGCCTGGGAGTTCTCAGCATACAGGAAAAGCCTACTGAAAGCAGGAAAGCATAGAGCAAAAATGGCTATTTTCTACTGCCTTCTGCCAGGCATTAGACTGCAGACTCACTGGGCAGGGAATACCTCAGTCATTGTATTTGCACACGACAAGCTGTGCTCAGTCTTGCTTCAGGCACTACTGCCACGCTAGTTATTTATATCAGAGTTATCTTCAAGTTGTGATACACCCACCCCTCCCAAAGCCCCAGTGCTACCCCTCTGGGAAAGTGCTATAGGCCAAGAAAAAAACAGAGGCTTTCTATAGCGTTTTAAAAGTCAATGTATATAACTCGATAAAAACAGAACCATAACTTTAAAAGATTCAGGTTATATCCTTCTGAATTCTCCTGCATTGAGAGACAGCCACAGCACACACTGCTTTACTCCAGATGTTGTCCCATAAACACTGACTGGGGCAAAACTACAGTTTAGCTCTATAGGATGGCTCGCAACAACAACAACAAAAACTCTGCTGGAAGGCTCGTTCTTTCCTGCATTCTGATTTTTAGTGCAGGCAGGTGGAGCCAAGGGCTCCAGCCAGCACTGTGTTTTGCTGGCTAGGGATGCAGCAGTCTGAACAGAGATTGCTCAGAGAGCACAGGAAGGGTTGCTAGCAGATTGGTTTTGAAGGATCTCTAATACAGGCAAAAGGATAGAATTCATTTACTCAGAAAAGGCAGACCATTTTCAGTATTATCAATAAAATCTTTCAATCTCTACCCCCAAATCCCCACTGCAAATTTAGCAGGGATTTATTATTAGCTGGCTGAGACATGCAATTAAAATACAACATTAGAAGATACCTAGGTGAATTCAGCACCTTGTGTGGATATGTAGCAACAAATTTGTTCTCCGGCAGTGTGTGGGAGAATTCCTCCCTGCTGTGGATTCATACCCAGTACCAGCCAAAGCTCCTCCAGCTTATTGCCAAATAAGCAGTGGGACTGGTGCATAGGATGGCAGCAGTCCCAATCTCTGTGCAGGAAGAAAACAGTGCCAGTGCTAATTTCTCATACAGGTAAACTAGATGCATCTCCTGTTCTCCAAGGAAATGGCATGCCAGATATTAATACATACAGGCTGCTTCTCCCTTCAGCCTGTGCTGTACTGTTTTCTGTGTATGGGTGAAGATAAACAGAAAAGTGCAGAGCCTTGACCCCCCTCCCAAGAGGAAAAACAACCAACATCCCCCCCCACAGACCATTACATAGAGTTAAATCCCAATACCTTTGCTCACACACAGAGGTTCCTTTAGCTTTTAATATGAGTAAGGCTGTGCAAGGAATGATGACCACACGCAAGGAAGCTTTAAGTCTGTTTTGTTCAGCAGCCCCTGTGCCAACACAGGAGGGCACAGCAGATCTGCCCTACCCATGCAGGGTCACATCCTGGCTCCTAACAGAAGCACAGCTACATGGGGAACAAGGAAAGCAGTGGAGAAGCCAAGAAAAATTCCTGGGAGGATTCCACAAAGCTAATCAGGCAGAAAGCTTCGCATATGATCCAGCTCCCCCGACACCAGTAAGGCAGCTCCTGCACTGTCGCAATGTTTGGTCCATTTTCACCCCCTGCGGCTGGAGACATAATGCAGGAAGCTGGGATTTTAAATAGCTGAGAGCTGGTAGCATGCTCCAAAGGGATCACTTTGAATTGCTTTGAGTACTGTGTGTTTGGGGCTGGATGCCCAACGAAGTCAAATACCTGAGGTTTCTGACACACCAGCACTGCTGAAGTCTCCCAGATGAATGATTCCTGCCTTGAAAGGACCTTGGCTCCAGCGAGAAGCTATTTCTGCCTTAGTGTGATCGATCCCACAAGCCTGCTGGGTTTGTGCAGAAGCTCTCGGATCAGCTGAAGGGTATGTTCTGCAGAGAGGCTCCAGCACCGAGACAGAAAGCAATGCACGTAGCAAGGCACCGGGGCCACGTGCCAGGTGACTCACAGGAGCAAGGGGAAGCTCAGAAACCAAATACAAGATCTTAACTACTGTCTAGGCCTTCCCTGCAGAGCTTTCAGACTCAAGGGAGGCTTGTGGGGCAGGCTTCCAGCCCTCTGCAAACAGGAGCAGCTCAGCTCCCTCTGCAGCACAAGAGCCACAGTCCCACCAGCCCCAGGGGCTCTGTACCACATCGGGGCATAGCTGGGAAGGCAGGAGGGACATCCTGGAGAAAAGGAGGAGGAATGTAACCAGGATATTTTTAATATTTAGACTTCTTGCATGAAAGCAGATGTGGACACTGCTCAGCTGAATATCTCCCCTGCTTTGGAGACAGGGGTGAAGCTTCACCCCTTCTCCCCCTTCAATTATTATAATCAAGGGCCAGGTATAAACCAAATCACATCATAACCAGGCTTACATGGATGCAGAGTGGTGGAAAACCCCACAGGAACATATCATGCCCACCTCATAACTCAGATCCACTGGTGAGTATGTACTGATGGAGTCTGGAGTAAGAACAAGAGAAAAGCAAATGCTCAAATATGTTTGGTATTGAGGGATATTCAGTCCTGTGACAGCAGCCAGGTAGTGCTGAGAAGTGGAGATTGTATTGAGCACTCTGGTGGGGCTCAGCCTTTGAGCAGAACCCCTCACTTCCTTAAGGGAAGAGAGAGAGAGAACCAGCATAGCCAGCCAGTAGATACACCAAAGGCTTAAGCCCACAACTCTGGATGTAGGAGAAGACAAATAGCAAGCCATAAATCTAAACCATGACCAGGAAAGGTGTGGGAAAGAGGCTGCTGTGCCTTGCAGGTGCTCCAAGAGCCACCCCACCCCTCATTCCTGGAGCAACCAAGGAACCCAAGCCCCTTGCTAAGCACATGACTTATGACAATTACCAAATCAATTTCCCACCCACCTCCCCCTGCACCTTTTCTTCTACCAAGCCTCACGGAGGCTGCAGAGAAGCACATGAGGAGGCCCTGGCTCCTCTACCCAGCCACAGAGCCAGCCTTGCTCCCAGCACAGCAGTCCTGGCCCACAGCAAGCAATGGGAGCACCAAATGCAATGGTCTACTTCAATCTCCCAGTTATCTGCAGCAGCCTGCTCATGAGGAATATATTATTCACAAGCTATGGCTTAAGAACCATTGCTTAAACTGTGGTAAGCAACACTAAAGTAACAAGCCAAACAATTTATATACGTTATCATCTCTCTAGTCACCTTTTAACTCCACCTCTTGCCTTAGAAAAGTGCTGAGGGTGAATGAGGAAGCACCAGTCCCCAGATAACTTTCAGAAGCAGATTTGACACAAACCAGACAGGTGCCACAGGCCTGCTCTGAGGCCAAAAGCAAGAAGCAGCACTGCTGGAGGCTCTGGTGGGAGCTGGGAAAGCAGCTGAGCCTCATAACGAGGGCTGTAATGGGCCTCACAGGGGTCACATGGCAGGCACATCCACCTGGGGGTGCTCGTTTGTGGTCTGTGCAAGCTCTGAGGGACCCCTCTTAATAAAGGGTCTTTTTTATTTTTATTTTATTTTATTTTGACAGATGAGAGCTGCAGTCTCAGTTGTGGGTGGTTGCTTAGACAGTCATCCAAGTAACAAGAATCTCTCCAGCTCGGGAAACAATCTAAAGGACTATTGAAGTGACCCGACAGCAATCCCTGCCATCCCACAGTCCAGAGCTGTCCACAAGAAAACTCCTTTGGATTTTGGATCAGACTTCTGCTTTCTCCAGTCCTTTGTTTTCTTACACAGCAAGAGCACACTGTGATCAGACAAGATGAGAGCTTTCTCCTCAGTGTGGTAATGCACCCCAGCCTGACCTGCAGCTCCCCCTGCCAAGCCAGGACTGGGCTTGGCAGTAGTGCAGGCTGCCAAGTGCCATCACGCCCAAACAGTTGGGACCTGCGTGAGGTGTGCAGGGGGAGTGAATGAAGAAATGGAGATGAGGGAGTAAGCTGACATCCCCCAGGTTCAGCTGTGTATTATCCATATGCCCATGAGAAAGCAAGGCTTACTAATTACTCAAGAAAAGCCAATATCATACATATTTTTTAAATAGACAGGTCCAAGAACACTCCTTAAAATACACTGGGAGCAAGAATTGGGTTAAGAAAATCAGAGTTTTCCTAAGCTGAGCTCTAGTTCCTCAAAATAATTTGAGTGTTTTAGTTTTTCATGAGAGAAGGTAAAAATATTCCACATTCAGAAACTGGGGATTTCTTGACAGATTAACTCCTCATCTGCAAGTTTCTCCATTCAAAAGGTATTTGCAGAACATGAAAAGGGAAGATGGGAAATTGAAATAACTCTCAGGAAGCTTGCAAGACAATTATCACTCCCATTTAAGATTTTGGCCAAAAAGCAGAAAAATCACTTTTTCCAATCACCCTCAGGTATATTAAGAGATTGACCTGTAAACCCAGAGATGGACGTTCAGTTAGACTGATGCATAAAATGCACTTTTGCCTTAAAACAGGGTGAGACTCTCTACCAGGTATAATTTAAACCTACTTCTACAATATATGAAAGGTGAAGGAAGACAAGGGTGAAAACCTTAGGCTAAATATCTTGCTTCTGTATCTCAAAACTCAGCCTTTCTATTGTATAGAGCAAGCCCGGCCTCCTTTGAGTCACCTGAATTATCCCAGATGTGCAACCATGTGACGGAAAGTCCAAATCATTGCCCAGAGGAGCACTTGCTGTTTCCCCTCAAGTAGGTTCCTGACTGATATATTTCCCCTCTGGGCAAAGATTAAACAGACTCATCAGGTGTTCCCGAGAGCCCTCGGTGACAAATGAGCCTCCAAGAGGATGAGCAAGCTCACATCTTCCCTTCATCCAACAACAGAAACCTCCTTTCCAGGCAATTGCCCTGTTGCTTTCCGGGCTCTCCTCAGAGAGGTAAGTTACAGAGACTGCACCAAGTCCCACTGCACTGAGCACGGGCCAGATATATAGTAAACAGATTAAGAGAAAATACCTACTGGCTTAATGGGGGGAGAAAAAACAGTGGGAACAGAGGCTCTGAGACAGGTGCAGCCCCAGTTTAAAAAGGAGGAGGGACAAATACAACCACAGCAGCACAGTGCATTCTGTAGACCAGCACCAAGGCCTGTGCTGCTTAGCCTTTACAAGGGGAGGTAACGCTGCCATACCTCAGCCCAGAGCACTAACTTTCAGGGTGGAAGTGACTTTTTCCAGAATGGCACAGAAAGACTAAGAAAAAGCCTCAGGTCCCTGCCATTCTCCTAGAGCTTGGCCTCTTCCACTGCTCTGCATAGCCATTAGCATGAGGCTTGGCCAAGGAGAAGGCACCATTTCTTGCACAGACAAGTGCAAATGAAAACCAGAGGAGTTACCCACCTGGGTATGTACAATAACCCTGTTTTGATGTGCAGCAGACACTTGTGGGCTCCATAAGGAACAGTAACTCAGCCTGTCTGACATATACAACATCATTAATAATCTAATCTAGAGCAACAGCTACCAGCGAGCCACACAGCCTGTGTCTGTGTACACTCAGGAAACAGATGAGGCCCATCAGTCCGAGCCCTCAGCCTTTGAATCCCCGAGGCCTGAAGTCCTTGAACAGCTCACCTGGAGCTGGGCTCCAACTTCATCCTCTGAGGGCCTCAGCTCAACATCACACTTTCCACTGAAAGCAGCAGCAGGGGTTGCTTAGGCAGCCCTAGAGCAGCACGGTCTCATGGGCAAAACAGTCCCTGGGGCACGGCCTGCATTAAAAATCACATCAGCGTGCTCATCTGGACTACACATCTTGTGTCATTTAGTCTGAGGGTGATCTGAAATACTGTTGGTACTGCATGGCAATCAACAGCTCTCAGATAAATATTGCTAATACGTGGGGAAGCCTTTACTTTTTTTTTTTTTCCTGTATTATTTCTACAGGTGCCTGAAATGACTGCAAACTATTGCATCAACACTGTGCCATTCTTTCCCATGCATATCTAAGTACAGCCTATCCCCTTTGTAACGTTTTGTCATTCCATTGAACCAAAAATACAAATAATAGGGAGAGGGAAACCATCCAACAACCTCACTTTCAGCTTCCTGAGTCATTTAGCCTCAACTTGAATTTTAACTACACAGTCAGACAGCAGCACTAGCTGTTACATCAGGGCTTTGGAAGCAAAGGGAAGGGAGGAGGTGAAGCAAGCCCAGGAGACAGCCAAGAGGAAAACATCTTTAAAGCTCCCCTGAATCAGTGACACTTACCTGTTTGTTCTGTTCTATGCCTCTGGGTTTCTCTGAAATGGAGAAGAGTAATTATGAAGTGACCCACTTTCCTCCTGTTTAGCGTAAAGAGGAAATGGGGGGAAGGGGAAGAAGGGGAGGAGAGGGAGAGTTGCAGAAGGAGAATATCAAAGGGGAGAGAGAGGAAAAGAAACTTGCAGAAGGTAGGAGGGTAAATTGTGATGACCCAGTTTAAAGGAAGAGCAGGAACTAGACCTACTAACAGTCAACACCTTCCCACACACTCCAAGGAAAGGAAACAGCAAGGGAGAGGAACAAACCTATTGCTCATAACACTTTTTTGTGCTACAAGCTCATAACTCCAGGACAAGTCTTGCACAGGGGAAACTCCACAGCAAAAGAGGGGACTGCTCCCATCAGCCTTTTTATCTGCTGGTTGCAAATTCCAAAGGCGAGGTCTCCATTCCCTTCCTTAAAATCTCACACACTATGACCAGGTGCAGCTCTAACAAAGTCAGTAGTGATGCACCACTTCACGCCAGCTAAAACTGGTGAAATAGATAACGTAGTAAATACACGTATTCTGTGGGTGGCAATTATAACCATAAAGGAAGGATTATCCCTCCCCTCATCTCCAGGTGAGTGTCACCAGCCAGCTTGCTGAACCCACCACAGCTCCACTGTTTTCAAAGCCTACACACCATGAATTGCACTCCTCTGTTCTGTAAGTCTGCTCACGGTTTGAAATAGCTGGTGTTTCCTGCAAGCAAGCAATATTCCCAAAAGTATAACCACATTTTAAGTATACAATAAACCAGTGGCTTAACTTGCACTCACTTTAAGCTTAGTGGTCAAACACAGTATATGGACACAATTATGTGGGGAACTGCAAATAAATTAGCATTGCTTTACTGTATTTCTGTCCTCACGGAAAAATTAGGTAAAAGAAACAGAACTGTTTTACTCAGTAGACTGTTAAATTTAACAGTGATGGGACGTTAAAGAAGCCTTCAAAGGACAAGTTTGAATATTTGTTTTCCAGCTGCTATCCCACATCTGTGTTGTTGTTTCCAGAGGCAGAAACTGCCCACGATGCTGTAGGGCAGTGAGTGCACGAGGCACTGGCCTGCCACGGCTGCTGGGAGCTCAGGGTCCCTGCTCCAGTCACTGGCTGGGTTTCAGCTGAATGTTGAGTTTGTCCCTGCAGCTCACGGCTTGAGGCAGTCGGTGCTGGACTCCAAGCACCTGGCATCTCCGTCCTTTTCCCAGGCTTGGAGGTAAGCCCCGTTTGGGAACAGCTTTACCCAAACAGGCCTTACCTGTGTGGTGCTGGCAGTGCCTGGCAGTGCAGCTGAAGGAGCAGCAAACAGAAATGCCTTGTGCCTTTAGGTGGCTTCAGGTCTGCACAGCAGCTAGGAGGGGCTTTATCCCAGGCTCGATGTTCACACCTCTCAGTGCAGCTTTCTGTCCTTTCTTTAATCAGCTGTTAGACAAGTTTTGAAATGGTTCCCAAGCTAAAGTCACACACACAGGAGGGGAATTCAAATCCAGTGAGGATTTATTTTATTAAAGCAAAGACTGCTTTAATGAAAAATGGAGTTGAACCCTTACCTGCTGTCTCTCTCACAGGCACTGGTACACTTGTGTGTATACCTACTTTTGTCCATAAATCACAAAACAAAAGGTCCTATTGACCCTTCCTCGCATCCCATAACCTTGTCACTCTCTCTGAGCCTGGTGTGACTTTCACAGAGCCTTCTTCTCACATCAGGAATAAGTTGAAGTTTTATCATGCGTCCTGGTAGCACTCCATTATGGGGCTGATTCTGACTGTGGAGCTTCCTCATGCTACAAGACACCTTCCTAGGAGAAGGAAGGCTCTCTGTCCCTCCCTGCCATGCTTGCTGGAGTTAACCCAGTTGGCAGGGATGTTTCCCTTCTGTCACCTGAGGGTTTACAGCTCATCCCTCTGAGCCTGAGGACAGCAGCCTCCTTTTCAGCTGTTTCCCATGCCTTGCTGTTGGGCCTGGCCTAAAATCCCCAATGGCAAGGCTCCTGGAGACCTCAGGCCAGTCACACCTCCTTGCCAAATCATAATCCCCAGAGATTTGATTATGCTGTGGCTATTTCCCCTTTACACGTTGGATAATAGATGTTAACATCTGGCATGGTGGGAAATGCCTCGGTCAAAGCAGGCTGTATAGCTGTGGGAAGGCACCCAGCCAGGGCTGCACAACGTGGGGTCAGCAGTGGGCACTCAGATGCGCTAAATACTTAAGTCCTATTTGTTCATCAAGCAGCTCATCAGGAATCAGATAACAAAGCACTTTGGGATATGGCTCTGCATGTCTGAAAGAGTAAGAAAGAAATCAGTGGGGACTCGTCTCCAAAGGTTTATGTTAAAATCTTATTTTAAATCTCTCTACTTTTGAACAGAAGCCTCAGAGGAATCTTGGCTTGGTTTGAATTGGAGCACCCTATTATCGACAGGTCCTTAGAAAAGGCCACAGATTATCTGTATATCTGGAGAATCTGAAAATGCAGAGGAAAAAAAAGTAACTTGGGCCTAGCTACTCGCTCAGATTTAACTAGAAGCAGCCTGGGGCACACAGATGCACCTGCCACTGATGGCCAGAATTCACTGGTTACATAAACAGCAGTAAATTCCACAAAATGATTAGAAACTGGGCATAAAGGGCTCAATCCTCAAACTGCTCCACTTGCCCAGACTTTTAGAGTCTAAGTCCAGGAAAATGCAGAAATCGGAGAGGCTATGAAATGTTCACTGCCAAAGCAGGCACATTTTTCTCCTCTCCTTCTTTGACTAGATCAATTAGGATTTATTTCCCATCCACATACTTGAGGCACAGATGAGCAGCACTGGATAAAGAGGGTATTTCCCTCTGCTTAGAGAAAATGGAAATGCCTGGGGCAGGTGGAGGGGACCGAGGCAGTCTCAGTGTTACATCTTACTTGGGGAGAGCTTGGGAATGAACATCCAGGACCTGGTGGCACTGCTCAGCATTTTGGCATTGCGCTTGCTTTCTGCCTCACTGCACAGCTCTGCAGCATGCAGGCATGCGGGCTGGAGGCTGAAGGTGATTCTGTGAGCAGCCAGTGAGCTTCCACTGCGATCAGACCTCGGACTGTGGACAAAAAAAAGGGCTGTTGTTTCCTCCCTGCTAACATGCTGCAGGCTCTGCCCTTCGCTGGCTCCTGGCTGGTAAGATGGGAACCCACAGCATGGCACTCACACACAGCAAAGCATGTTCCCTGTCTCATTATTCATGGGCTGTGCCCACAGGTACTAGTTGTTCAGCTTCCTGAACATTTGCCTGAATAACTGGTAGGAAGCTGAATCATTCTTAGAGCAAATTCCAGTTTTCTCTCTCTTCCTACTTCATTTTCAGGCTTCACTTCTCACAGCTCTCCTGTACCCAGCGTGAAATGAGTGTTTAAATACTATCAGATAGAGTCAATAAACTCCCGATGTGTGTTGTGTTTTTTTTTTTAATACCATCCTCCAATGATGTTAGCGAATCAGCTAAAATTGCTTAGTAGCACTTATTGCGACAGAAATCCCGGTGCTGTGGTGCAAAAGGCTGCCCCCCTCTGCATCTCCCGGGGTAGAGGCATAGACTCTCTCAGCTTCAAAATAACTGTAGGAAAGGTAGCTGTTCCTGCTAAGCTTAATGGGCAATGTTCGTGATCCATTTAATGATTCTGCCTTCTGTTGTTTTATTAAAATACCTGATTTCTGCTGCAGCAGAGCTTGAAAATTAATCTGAAATGGAACCCAGTTTTCTCACTGGAAACCTACCTCTCCTCCTCCCACCCCCTCCTTCCTCTGTCTTCCTTTTGCCATCCCTTAGCCCTCTTTCCCGAAGTTATGCTGCATTTTACTTTGCCTTCACTGCATTTTCCTCCCAGGCTTTTGACACCAGGAGCCAAATTCATCCCTGCTGGTATCCAATGGACTGAAATTCTTCTCAAAGGTATTATTCAGCTGAATCCAGACGCAGCCAGGATTTTGCAGTGCTGGTGGCTTAGTCAGAACAACAGTTTATAATTTCTCTTTCGCTTCCCTTATCTCCCATCAATATGAATAATTAATAAGACCTAGTATTGCTCTCTTGAAAATCATACTTCATTTCAAAACCACCTATCAGACAAGCTGTCTGAAAATTTCTTCTTAACTTTCTGTGTGCACTAGGAACTCTCAAGGCACAACGCATGCACATGGACAGCCTGGATTTCAGACCGAGCTGTGCTCTGGGATTCCTCCTGCCATCTGCACTGCATGCCGAACTGAAGTGCTGGGTACTCTTACCCCATGATCCAGCCGGGAAAGGTTTGCTTTCCCAAACTGCCATTTCTGATGCTAAATCTGTGCCCTCGTCAGGCTGAAGAGGGCTGCTGTTCCAGATCCCTAGCCTAGGAGGGGGGGGTGTCTGCAGAGCGTTAATCTTAGGCTGCCAGGCTGCCTTTACAGCCCTTAAACCTGACAGGTTCTCTCCTTCCCTGCGGTTTTCATGTGCACAGCTCATTAGATACTCTAATGCAGCAGGGAGCCCCTCTTGCCTGAGAATTCCTTTGTCGTATATTTAGCAAACTTTTGACTGTTTCCTTCCAAATGAGACTGAAGGACATATTTTCGTAGGAGAGGGTGAGAATTGCAAAGCACGATCTGCAATCACGTTTTTCTGTGGGGAACTACAGAGCAGGGGAGGAGGAATCACCGCAGCTCTCTCCTTCCCCCCCGCGCCTTCCCTCCCGTCCCGCCCCCACCCCCGTACAACCATAACACGAGATGAACGCGCTCCAAAATACAGCTGCATTGCCTTCCCTCTCTTCCGGTTTTCCCTGCCATGGCAAAAGGGAGAAAAAAAAATGATTAGGGTAGAATTATCGCTAATGTGGGACCGATGTTTTGACTCTCTGTCATCCACAGACTATTTAGAAAAGCCTTTAGCAGGGTGTCAGAGTTAAACATAGCCAGTGCTCAGTGATTGCTCACAACAGAGACTCAGGCGGGGAAGACGGAGGCATCTCTGCTTGTCTGTAGGTCTGGATGGTTCCACAAGCGAACGCACGAAGGCTTGTGGAATGGAAAGGCAGGGATAGCGGAGGTTACAAAAGAGTGTCGCACTTCAGATGCAATCCCCATCCTTCATTAAAATCCCATTAAGAGATACCTTTTACAAAAAGACAGTGTTTTGTGTGAAATTAAACGATTTCCTCCCCATTAGAAATCACACTAGAGACAGCTCCATTTGCTCCAAATTAGGTACGCTCTGAGCGAATATTTTAATTAATCCGTGATAAATAAGCCAGGCTCTTTCCTGGAACAGAATTACCGTTTTCCTCCTCAGCAGCAGTGAGATGTTCTCTCTCTGCTGTGTGCACGCACGTCTCTGTGCCTGGGCTTTTATTTTTATATTTTTTTTTGGTCTTATCTTTCTCTCTCTTATTTTTGAACCTGTCCCTCAAATGATCGGTTACAGCACATGTCCTTAACCGTGGATTTCCTTGTGTTTGGCTGCTCTTACTCGGGGGGGGGGGGTAGTGGGGGGAGGTGAGGGGGAACAACCAGACCAACTCACTCAGACCCCCGGAAGGATGCTCCGAGAAATAAAAAAGAGGGAGAAGGAAGAATTTGCACATAAAAATAGAAGCCCACGTAGACTGGCCATATATGGAGTACCGGGGACTTCGGAGGGATACCCTCTTCGGACCACCCCTTTGGCGGAGGAAATGGCTGCAGCGGGAGGCCCCCTTCCCCCCTCCCCGGGCGGTTCAGCCCCCGGCCATGGGGCCGGGGCCGGGGCCGTGGCCGTGCATGGGCGGCGGAGGGGCGGCAGGGCCTCCTGGCCGCCGGAGCGCGGTGCGGCGGCGGCGGCGATGACTCAAAGCCGCCCGGGCCCCGCTCTGCCCCCCGCCCGCTCCCTCCTCCCCTCTCCGCTTCTCCCCCCCCCCCCCCGACCCCCCCGCCGGGGAGGGCTATTAAAAGCTGCTGACGTAGGAGCGGACGGCCATCTTTGATGAGGGCACGGCTCCCGGTCCATTGAAGAAGGAGCCCCGCAGGTCAGCAGCGCTGTCCTTGCCTCCCAGCTGCGGCACCCAGCACCGGCCCCGGCGGAGCGCTGCACGGACACAGGTACGGGCGGGAGGGGCACCGAGGGCACCGGCTGCGCAGGGGGGAAGGGGAGGGGGTGGGGGCCGTGAAAACGAAGCGAGAAAAGGGGGGATTTAAGGAGGAATCCGCGCGGCGTTTTGTCCGCAGCCTCTCGACTGCCGCAGGGCTGGAGGAAGGCGAGGGCGCGACGCCGCCAGCCTCATCCACGGCTGGCCCAGGGGGAGAGGGAGCCGAGCTCTGCTTCTCCGCCGTGTCGGGCTGCCGCGGGGGCGCAGGGAGGCCGGAGGAGAAGGGGAACAAATAAATCTCCGTTTGTAGCGGGAGGAGAGCGGGCTGCGGGCTCCCGGGGGCTGCGCTGCGGCCGCGCGGGCACTGCAGCGCCCTGCCCGCAGCGCGGACAGCGGGGAGGGGGCTTCAGCACCACGGACAGCTCCGGAGCTCGCCCCCCAGCTCCCGCCGGGCTCTGTCCCTTCAGCACCACGGACAGCTCCGGGGGCCCGCCCCATTCAGCACCGCGGACAGCTCCCGGGCAGCCCCGCGCGGGGCCCGCCGCAGGCAGCGCGCAGGCGGAGGCGGGCGCTCTGCAGAGCCCTGCGGCTCCGACACCCCCCCAAAGACACAGACACACACACACACACACACACACACACACACACACACACACACACACGCACAACCCCCCACACACACACCCCGTACCGCCCCCAGCTAGCTCTTCCTCGGACGGGACCTCGGGCACGAAGCGTTGTGGGTTTTATGGTCTGACGGCGCCTCGGCGCGATATATATATATTTTTTAATTAATAATGATAATAATAAAATGCATATAGGGCGGGATGGCGGAATTGCACGGCGTTCGGCCGCTCTCCCAGCCCGCTGGCAGGTGGCCTAAGGGCAGCGGGGTTACATAACCCTCGGTCTGGGGGCTCTGCAGCCTTGGGACAGGGGCACTGAGCCCCCTACACAACGCGGCGCCCCCAGCTCCCCCGGCCCTCTCCCCTCCGTCCTTCCCGCTGCCCAGTTTTCCCGTTCCCCTGGGCGCAGCTCGCTGCTGGCAAAGTTGGGAACTTTGCCGCTTGCTGCGGGGCGAATAAACAAGGGGAGAAAAGGGGGAGCGGGCTGGGCGTCCAGACATTGCGCTGCGTAGCTGCGTCAAACGAGGGCCGCGGGATCTGCCAGATTTACGTGCTCGGCTTGAGTAATTGCTGCTGGTTTCATTCCCAGCTGAAAAGGGGGCGGGGGGGGGAAGGGGGGGGGAAGGCTGGTCTGCGGTGGAGCCCGGGGGTGGCGGAGCAGCCCCGCAAACCGTACCTGGCTGCAGCATCCACAAGGACGTGCCTGTCCCTCTCCTCTCTGCGCCGTCCTGGCTCTAGGCATGTAGCAAGTCTCCCAGCACCACGGCAATGAGAGGCTGGTGTGGGGCAGCCACTTCTGTGGGGTGCCAGGGAAGGGCTGGGGCCAGCCAGGAGGGTGCAAGTGCTCCAGAGGGTACGGCTGGGGAAGCAGCTCTGTCCCAGGGCTCCCATCTCCCTGCATGTCGCTGCATCATGGCCAGAGATGCCAGGCTAGGGGAAAAGCAGCAGCAGTTTTCTGTTGCTTCTGCGTAGTGCAGAAGGGTCAGCCAGGAGGACACCGCTGAAGAGTTTGATACCTAGGGTGAGTGACAAAGAGCCTGCAGAAGCCACCAAAAAAAAAAAAAAAGTGCAAGCAGGCCCTATTGGAAAAGCAAGAGCTTGAGGCTGCCACTGAAGTCAAGAGGACATGCAGAAACTCAGCGTGTTATGAAACAAAATGCAGCTAAATAGCAACCCCCAAATAAATGCAGTTTAACTTTCTTTCTACAACTAACTAGAAAATTAGAGTGGGATATCCAAGAGCAGTCAGGACCAGGCTCTGTGACCATTGCACTCACGGGGGCAGGAAAATAAAGAACAGCAGAATCCAGCCAGCACTGAGCCCTCAAAATACATCTAATGAGACACAGCTCCAATTTGCAGATTTATTGCACTGGAGGTGGGAGCTGCTTTTCAGGTCAACAGAAAGCTTTTCATTCATTTCCATACACTTTGGGCATGGCAACAAATAGCACGATTAAATTGCTAAGGCAAATAAAGCACGGTCTATGCCTAATGCTTGCACTGCTTTAACTGAGCAAGGTAACTAATCAACATACTTCCCTCTTGGTATTAACTACTTAAGCAATTTTTAGGCTTTTGTGTCACAAGGCTACAGCTTCTGCATATATAGCAACCCTTGGGGAAAAAAGGGAAGTATATTGCAGAGTGCAGAGCTCACTTTGTTAACAGTTTATTTTCTGAGGAATGTAGGAAAGCCTAGGAAGAGAAGAAATTGGTTTACATTTACCCTAGCTCTTCACACAATTACTCTTTTTCTGATAAATTTTCCTGAATCTCTCAGAAGTCTTTATAATATAATCACAGTACTTTCATTTATACATACCTAAACACAGGCACGCATACATGCATTTCAGAGATTTCTAGGGTTAGAAGCCAGGTAAAACCACAAGAAATGTAGACTGACTTTGACCTTCACTGTTTTTCTACCTGTGAGGTTTCCTCCACCACTACAAATGCAGTCACCTTTGGGCTGGGCGAGTGCCGGGTAATCTGTAACAGTAGAATTGTTTGAGCTTTTGAGAGCATCTAATGGAGAGAAGAAAAACGCATTGCTTGAGAACTGCAGCAGGATGCAGGGCTCAGGCAGATCACAATTACCTCCAGGAAGCTGGACTTTGGAGCAGGCACAAGGGCTCACATATCTACTCCTGGAAGCATTGAATATAGTTTGTCGAGGCCATCAGTTGTCAGAGAATAGTTAATTTCTTTTGCCTCATCATTTTTGAGCCTTAACAGATATCTGTGCCCTTAGTTTTGATAAACTCTGGCTTTCTTCCTTACTGACTTTGCAGATTCAACTCCTGCATCGAATTACAACAAACACCGAAATAAACAAATTGTGTTCCTAGCTCTTGTCTATCGCCCCTTTGTTACTCCCTCCACAAATACACAGCTACGCACTCCCACTAGCAAAATCTGCCTCTCATCAGATGATAATTGTCAATATGCTGTTCCACATCCCACTGCATTTTCTAGGACTTTGCTTTCTACAGGGTACAAACAGAATGCAACTCCATAGGCTCACAGTTGTTCCTTCCTGCTTTACGATCATCCTATGGCTGATGTTGTGAGACTCAAAGTGGCTAGAGCATTAGTGGCTTGCAGTGGCCTAGAGGAAGTGTTTGGACCATTTGTCCTGTTATTCAAGAATGAAATTTAGATTTGTCTTTACATCTTTCATTGTTTTTGCTTGCTATTTCCTCCTCTCTTACGTCATCTTTGTCCCCATCTGCAATCTTCTCTTCCTTGTTTTAAAGAGCACCATGATGAAAGAAACAAACTTGGACAAAGCATTAAGACCCTGATGGGCAGAGAGCTGAGTGTGGGCTTCTGATTTTGATTATTCCAAGGTGTCTTATCCAAAGTTAGATGAAATCAAGGAAACTACTTCCAGTGGTGACTTTGGATGAGGCTCTGAATAAGCTCGTCAGTCAGGCTGTGTGGTGCTAGAGATAAGCACAGGGTATGGAAAGCATCCTGCTCCCAGCAATGGGCACATATTGATTAGCCCTGCAGTCCAAGAGGAAATCCTGCATGTCCTTTTGTGGGACTTGTAACAGAGACCATATTTAGTAGTTTAGGTTTTTCAAAGGGAAAAAAGTGATGTGGATATATCCCCTCTGAAATATAGTGGCACACTGTAATATTAAAGATAATTCAGTCATTGCATTACGTATTTTTCCTTTTCTTTCTCCTTTCTTTCTTCCTCTCTCTCTCTCTCTCTCTCTTTCTTTCTTGAGAGATAAGGTATCTCATTCACTGAAGAAAGCTGTATTCTAGTACAAGCATGGGGAGAAGAAAGAAATACCAAGTAATTAATCATGATGGCTTCATGGCTGTTTCTGGCCTTTGAAAGCTTTTAAAGCTTGCTTTTTTTTTTTTTTTTTTTTTTTTTTTTTAACAATGCTCCATTTCTCTTTTTACATGGGATTGGGCCACGCTTTCGATTGGATTGCATTGGCATAGGTGAGTGCTGCATTACACTGCAGGCTGATGAGTTCCTGAGCTGGGGCTCACCATTCATGTTTTAAAACAGAAAGCCGTGTACTTGCTGAAGGAGTGCTTTTTTTCTAGGAACAGAAGTATCTCGAAATGGTTTTCCCCCAAACCCTATTTGTACCAGTCTGGTTTTTCATTGTTGCAGATTCTCAGGCAACATTCAAGTAGCTGTCTGCCTCACGAATGCTGACAGCAAGCAATGATGAAGCAGTGGAGCGGGAATACTGCACGTTCTAGCTTTATTTCAGGTTGGGTTCTGCTGCACTCTGCTGGTGTATAACTTCAGCAGAACTTTTTCGATGGCGTAAAACCCAGGAACACAGTCGAGTTTTCCCCAGGTGCACATTTGTGTGCAGAAAAAGTCAGAACTGTATAAATGAATGTGTAATAAAATGAAACCTGCACTTTCAGGTGAATTGATGTGGTCTGATTTCACAGACTGCATTTCCTAGCAGCACTCATTCATTCTTTCCCCATTGGGAAGTAATGGAAAGTTTTTGTGCATTCCAACAAATGCACCGAAAAATTATGCACCTTTTCCCAAGTCCGTTAAGGCAGTATTTTTAACTCTTTGGCTACTCAGCCACATTACTGGTGTAGTAGAAGTATAAAAAAAAACAAAGTCAAAGCAAAGTCTTTACTGTACACATTTCTAAATCAGAAAGAGGAGAACTGTTTTTATACATTTGTATACATTATAGTATACCTTGTGCTTTTAATATGATGGAGTTATTCTACCAGAGTTTACTCTCAGAATTCACTAGCAAAATTATAATTATCAGAGCCTGTGTTGGTGCTAATAACTAAAACATATATCCTAGACCATGATTATAGCAGGATGCTTCATGTATGTGATTTTAAAAAATTATTGCAAGATTTCCACTTT